GCTGCCTCTCACTGCCTTGTCCTCCCCAGGCAACAAGGTCTACGTGCACCCCGAGTCGCCCAACACCGGGGCGCACTGGATGAGGCAGGAGATTTCTTTCGGAAAGCTGAAGCTAACGAACAATAAAGGTGCTAACAACAACAACGCACAGGTAAGGAGGGAGAGAGAGGCCTGGGGGGCTCTTGGTGGCTCAGCGGGGTTTTGGGGCTTTTACAACATTTCATCGAGCCGCTACTTCACTGTGCTTGTGACTCGTTCCCTTCTTGAACTGGGTCATAGGGCTTGTTTTCTTTGTTTTGCCGTATGAATAGTTGAAAATATTCGATTATGATGTGCGAATTACTTTTGTTTTAGTTACTATATCGATCCCCTGGAGTTGGTCAAAAAGTGGGAGGATAGCTGATAGCTCTTAGTAAAGCAGGGCTGCAAGCTGTGACTCAGCTCCTGATAACAGTTAAAACTGCTCCGTTTCTAAACCAAGAGATTACAATTTACAGGGAAAAAATGTCAAGCTGCAAAATAAGTCTTTTAATGTTAGATGCTGTTTGTCTAACGATGTTGTCTCTTTCACGGTTTCTTTTAGATGATAGTACTTCAGTCCCTACACAAGTACCAGCCCCGACTTCACATTGTGGAAGTGACCGAAGATGGTGTTGAAGATCTGAATGATTCCTCAAAGACTCAAACGTTTATTTTTCCTGAAACGCAGTTCATAGCAGTTACAGCATATCAAAACACTGATGTAAGTATCGATGTATAAAATTGCAATTAAGAACAAAATTGACTTGTGGGTTCAGCATCTCATGTTAATATATTCTGCTTTCACTTTTAGATTACACAGCTCAAAATTGACCATAATCCTTTTGCAAAAGGCTTCAGAGACAACTATGACTCGTAAGTATACCTCTATTTTCTTTTGCAGATGTGTCAGTCTAGGAAGTGTGATTCTGGCCTGAAACGTCTGTGGAAGGGTTTTCTTTAGACTTTAATTCAGTTATTCAGTGCCAGCACTGCTTCTACTGGTGATTTTGCTTATGTTAAAATGTCTGAATAGTGTATTGTCTAGATGATCTCTTTCTGCTGGCTTCTGAATTTTGGTAGGAAACTTGTATTGGCAGAATCCATCTGGCCTGTAGTTTTTACTGGCAGCAGTATGTTGGGTGTCTCCACAGAACAGATAGGGTCTTTAAATTGTCAGCAGAATTCTTGCCTAATAATTTTCTACCTTCACTTGTGTTATTGCTTGTAGCAGTAGCAGAAAATTTACAGTGGCATAGGAAAAGCGCCTGCTAAATCTGATTATCACCATCCAATTAAGTGTAGTTATGATTCTAATTAAGAAATACCTAGTTTGTTTGTGTTTTTGTGTTGTTACTGTCATAGTGGAATTGTAAAGAAAAACACTCAGTGTTCCTCTTTTATGTTGTAGCATGTACACAGCTTCCGAAAATGACAGATTAACTCCATCTCCCACGGATTCTCCTAGATCCCACCAGATCGTCCCTGGTGCCCGATACAGCGTGCAGCCATTCTTCCAGGAACAGTTTGTCAACAACCTGCCCCCAGCCAGGTTTTACAACGGTGAGAGAACTGTCCCTCAGAGCAATGGCCTGCTGTCCCCGCAGCAGAACGAGGAGGTGGCCAGCTCTCCCCAGCGCTGGTTCGTGACGCCCGTGCAGCAGCCCAGCGCCAACAAACTGGACATGAACTCCTACGAGACAGAGTATTCTCACAGCCCCTTGCTCCCTTACGGCATCAAATCCCTCCCGCTGCAGACGTCCCACGCTCTGGGATACTACCCCGACCCGGCGTTCCCGTCCATGGCAGGCTGGGGGAGCAGGGGCTCTTACCAGCGGAAAATGACGACAGGACTAACTTGGCCCTCCAGAACGAGTCCCCCGGGATTCACTGAAGACCAGCTTTCCAAGGACAAGGTGAAAGAAGAAATTGGCTCGTCCTGGATAGAGACTCCACCCTCTATAAAGTCTCTAGATTCAAATGATTCTGGGGTCTACACAGGCGCTTGTAAGAGAAGGCGGCTTTCCCCTAGCACTTCCAGCAACGAAAATTCCCCGACAATGAAATGTGAGGACATTAATGCTGAGGACTATAGCAAAGACACTTCAAAAGGCATGGGCTACTATGCCTTCTATGCTAGTTCTTAGAGCATTTTTTTTTATTCCAATTGGCTGTTTTGGTTTTTTGGTGGCTTTTTATTTTTTCAGGGTGGCCTTGGGTTTTTTTTGCATTACAATTGCCAAAAAGACTCTTGCCTTCCACCTTGAGTTGTTGTGTGCAATTCTAAAGAAGGTGCCAAAGCTTTTTGACTGTTGCAGGTAACAAAGTAGGGAAAGAGCAAACCATGGGAGATTTCTTCCCCTTCTTTTAGAAGGAACCATATGCAGAAGCTGTAAGGAGTATACTCTAGTGTCTAAATGTGTGGCATATTTATTGGAGACACTAAAGTATACAGTTTGGGTTGGCTCAGAAGCCTGATTAAATCTATGCACTCCTGAGCAAGGAAAGAGGGGGTGGGATCCCAAATTTAATTTCCTTCCCTGCTTAATAAAAGGGAACTGGGTTGCAGGGAAATGCACAAATGCTATGTTCTGCTTTAGACTGAGCTGTTTTTTCAACCCATCAACAACACAGTTGGCTGAGTTGGATATTGCTCAGCTACAGCTTTTTCTTTTGGCAGAAAATGCCAAAATAAGGCCTGCTTGCCAGGCAGGATTTTGACTTGAAGGTTTTGTTGCCAACAGGATTACAATGACAAATCTGACTTTTCTTAGCTTAGAGCTTGCATTAAAAAACCCTGCCTCCATCCCAAAAGCCTAACCTTTATTAAGGTGGCCAAAAACCAAGTGTACATTTGGTGTTTTGTCTAGGTACACTGTAGAATATTGTGGAATAATGTATAAATAGTTGACCTATAGCTGTTCAGTTGGAAGGACATCCGGTGGTGTATTGAAGTTCAAAAGGCATTTTTTGATTAATCAAACTTAGCTTATGACACATTGCAAAAGGAGATTTCTATTTATGTGTATGTCAAGTGACTTTTACACTGCCCTGTATGAAACTGGAAGTGATGTAACTTTACCCATTCTTGCCTATACTTTCAGCCATTTTAAACTGCCCCAGAGCAACTGGCCCACGAAGTTTTTCCCCTTCCAATAAAGTTGTTTCTGTTTTTTTCTATGTAGATAGTAATAATTTTTAATAAATGTGGTGGTGCCAGGCATAACACGATATGGCTCTGCCTCATCTTTGCCTCTGCTGCATGTCCTGAGAGGGGAGGAGGGAGCGCCGTCCTAGGGGATGGGCCTTTATATCTAACCATCCCTTGCGGTACTGACGCTTTATCTGTGGGGTTTTTTTCCCTTTAATTTTTTTTAAGTCTCTTTGCTCTTTGCTTTGCATTTTTGTGTGCATCTTCTGCACGAGATGGGAGCCCCCGGCTCACTCCAAAATACGACGGCCTCCTGTAACCTTCCACCCCTTCATCCCTCGCCTCTGCGACAGGCGAGTGGTGAGCTCGGCCCGGACAGAGAATTGTGAACGCAGCCCGCCTCCTCCCGCCGCCCCCTTCTCACCCCCTCTGCTTCCCGGAACAAGGCACGAAATTCCCCTGCCCGCTTATCTGTGGGGAAAGCTGCTGGCAGAGCGATTGAATCCCAGCTCCCGCGGCAGCGGGACCTTTCCTGAGGATATGCAGGCAGTAATGGGATTAAGCTGTTAACGATTCCCGGCTGCAAACCAAATAAACGCGGGGCTCAGGCCGGGGCTGTCCCCGGTGGAGGTGACGCTGTCGGGGGATACCGGCAGGGGCTCCCCCTCCTCCGGAGCGGGACACGGCGGGTGTCCGGGGAGATTTCGATCAGCGCCTCGCCGCTCCCGCTCTGCGCGGTGCCAAGCTCTCCTGTCAGCTCTTCCTCTGCCCCATCTACAACGGGATGGGGGCAATTTTTGAGATACTAAAAACCGAGCATGTTATTCTTTTTTTTTTTTCTTTCTTTCTTTTTTTTTTTTTAATTTTTTTTTATTTTCCCAGTGGGGCCATCCCCTCTCGGAAAAGCCCCGGGAAGGGCTGTCCCTGTCCCCGGCGGGGGTGCGGCGGCATGCGGCCGTCCCCACCCGCCCTGCAAACGCCGATTACACAGCACGATTCCGCCGCGCTCTCTTAATAAAAGCTGTATGTTTTTGCACCGCGCGGTGAAAAAATAACTTAATACTTGTGAAAAGTCCTCACACTGTTTAATAGAAACGTAAGTGCCTGGCTGGCCCCAATTAACACCTTGTGATTATAATGCATTCCTAAAATGGGGTGTCAGACGCCAAATTGTGAATAAAGGTATCTAATTAATCTTCATAGGATGACACCGATAAACAACGCCAGGTTTAAATAAAGATCAAGGAACTGAATGCTTTTTATTTGTTTACATTAACAAAAGATAAAGTTAACTACCCTTGCACTTTGCTTCGCAATGTGATTTACTGCCACAAACAACGGGCTGCGGGCGGGGAGCTCCGCCTCGCCTCGCCGGGCTTTTTCTGGTGGCTTTGGCGGGAGGGGGACACCCCAAGGGTGAGCGCCCCTTCCTCCGCAGCCCCACGGCCCCGGGTGAGGCGGGCGTGTGCCGGGAAACGCGGCACCACCTCGGCCTGGCAGCGAGCGGGGGAACGGCCCCGGCCCCGCCACTTCCGACGCGCTGGCATGAAAAAAAACCACTGCGTGCGAGTTTGAGACGCGAGCTGGACGGGCACGGCGGGTCCAGAGCCAAATAAAGAAATAAATAATGGTTGTTTACACCGCCGTGCGGCGGGAGGTGGAGGGCGAGCCCTGCCCGATGGAGAGGGAAAGCTCCGTTCTAGGTCAAGGGAGAACGCGAACCTCGGCGGTGCCGGCGGGGCAAAGGCTCTGCCCGACTCGGGGCTCGGCTCTTCCCTCCCCGGCCCCGAGAAGGGGCTGAGCACCCTGGGGCCATTCCCCCGAGTTAGCGATTCTCTGGGATATTCCCTCCCGGAACCGAGGGAGAGGGTCGGTGCTCTGGGCGCGCAGCCCTGATGTTTAAATAGCATAAGCGCCCGGCGGGGCAAGAGAGGCAGCGGAGACTGGTTCGTCCCATGGATTGAGGCCATCCCTCTGCGAAGACTCTGTTTTTTGGTGTTGCTTTCGTTAAAGACGACCTGGCACGTCGAGAACAGCCCTCTGGTAATTTTTTTCCAACGAAACTTCATCCCTCGCTGCTCGCCCCAAGCCCTGTGGCCGCGGCTTCGCACCCGGGGCGGAAAACGAAACGACCCCGCAGCTCTTTGTTCCGACGGCAGAGCCCCGACCCTCCCTGGAGAAAGGGCTCCCTCTCCTCAGGGCCGCCGCCTCCGCGCTCCGGGGAGGAGGGGACAGATATTTTTCGGTATGTTTTCTCTTCTAGCAATGGGATGGGGTTTTACTTTCGCTCTGAATTTCCGCTCACACCTTCCTCAACGCCGCCGCCTCGTTAACACCTGCTCGCGTGTTCCCAGCTCCTCCTACCTGAGGGGAGCGCGGCCTTCATGGAGGGGGGCTTTCCCCGGAAAGGTGAATTTTTACAGCCCCCGCCCAGGGCTGCCTCTGAGGCGGTGGAACAGGGCCCCGATGGCTCCTGCGGTACCGTTGCCTTTCAGAAATTCCCCTTCCCGACGGGAATATCGGCCAGCAGAGCCGGAGGTGTCCGCTGCGGGGTCCCGGCTCTGGGTCGAAAGTCGAGAAGGGGGGGAATGAGGTGAGGAGGAAGACGGGGGCTGCTGGCACTTTTCTCATGCCTGTCCACGCCAGGAAATTGTAACTTTTATTTTATATTATTATTATTATTATCATTATCATTATCATTATCATCATTATTATTATCCTACATTATACATTCAAGCCCAATTCCCCAGCCCCCTGAGCTCTGTAGCCCACTCATCCTTTTCCCCAGATCTTCATAGCCATGATCATAATGATGCTGGTATGGCTAATATAAATATTAATCTAATCCTTATTGGAAGGATTTTAGTGCTTTCTGGGTATCACATATATGTAATCCAGGAGAGAATGACATTAGCCTGAAAGTGTGGAGTGCAAAATATGATTTGAATAAAAAGATAGGATGGTATCTAATATTTCCTTTAGGGAGTACTATACTCTGAGCTGTCAGAACCAATTGTGTAGCTGGAGGAGACTGAGGGATGTGATCCTAATCATATTGATGAAACATTCATCTGAGAGACCGAGCACAACCAGAAGGGACTCACTAGGAATACAATTAAATCCTAATCTGGGGAGGAGGAATCCTCCGCAGGCTTTCCTGTAACCTGCCACCCTCTCCCCCTTCTTCATTTCAGAGTCAGATAAAAGGCAGGAGAGGAAGGGGAAATACAGGAGAGGTGATGGAATGCTGTGTGGGCTGCATAAACACAGGGAGTGTTGGGTGGAAAGGGGGTAAAGCTGCAGTTCTGATCCTGGTGAGTAAAAATAAAGGCCTAACTTTAATCACAGGGGAAGCTCCCTGCCTGCAGAGGGCTTCCACCTGTGAGTGATGTTAATCAGGTGAAGGAAGTCTCGTTTCTCGAGGGAGAGTGCTTCTCCTGCCCAGGCTTTGACTGTTAGCTCAGTTCCAGACTACAAAGCAAAATTGATTTTTCTATCTGTTATGTGCAGTTCAGTTTCCATCTGCAGCAGGGAGCTGTTTTCTTGCTGATGTTGATTAGCAGAGGGGTTAATTTCCAACCTGTTTTGACCAGTGTCCCTCAAAAGATGGTCTGAGAAGATGGATGGGACAGGGCTTCAGATGATGTGGTTCCTGTAACAGCACTAAACCCTGGCTGACTGCTCTTCGTCCACCTTGCTTTAGGGGAAAGCATTGAGCACGTGGGTTTTCCTAGCATGTGCCACTTTTTGGTTCACACCACTAAAGTGAATTAAAGTAATGAATATCTAAATTCATATAATGATGATGATTGCAGCTTGAAAAGGAGCCTGTATTCTTCATCTGCTCACCGTCAGACTTGATTGTCTGAGACCCAAACCTGATCAGGTGTTTTTAGAGTTTTTTCCAAAGTGACTTGTCTTTTATCATCAAGCTCAGGCAAAAAGCAAAGTGATTTCCTTCTTCCTGGAGTGTTCTACAGAGAAAGAAAGACCCCCCAGAAAAAAATATCAGTTCTCTTTCTCATCAGTTGGGTGTGATGTCTGTGAATAAGGAAGGGATGTGTGGAGTGGAACATCCATTTACAAATCTGTATTAGGAGCTCCACGTGTGTCCATGTTCTCTTCTGCTGCAGCATGAGCTCTGCAGTTTCACTGGTTTATATACTGTGTACCCCATGAAGTAGTGTCATTTTAGCAGGTTTGAAAATGAAACTTTGTGTTAAGGTTCCTCTGCACTGTGGTTTTATGTGGCAGGACACAGGAGAGCAAAGGGCTCTGCTCTGTAGTGATCCCTGGGTTTCTTGGAGCAGGGTGAGGTTGCTGTGGTGTGGGTAGGGCACTGATCATTAAACTTCATGGAGTAGTTATAATTCCATTTGTCCACGAAGTAATGTAGTTTTTGTAAATTGCTTGGCATAGTTTCAAACTTCCTTTGAGGAAGAAAACAACCTGTGTTAGGAAATAAAATAGTTTGGTAATATATTAGAGCATGCTTGTTTTTAGTGATAAGCTCTCAATAACAGAAATTTTATTGCTTTTTTCTCCTCACTTCTCATTCCAAACACTATAAGATGATATTCCTGCTCTGATGAAGGTATGAGTTGAGCAAGCAGACCTGTTAAATTGACACTGCAGAGGGCATGTCAGTGCCAAGATGTCTTTTCAGGAGCTATTCACAAGAGCATGTGAATTTTATCCTATCTCTTGCTCCAGATAGGACAGACAAAGCCTCACCTGTGTAGCCTGCTGTCCTCTGATACCTTGATTAGCTCATTTTCCATTAACTTTGTGTTGTATATTGCAAGATTATGGTTAACCCAACTCTTCTGTTACTTCTTTCAGTGAAGGCAGGATTCAGCTCTGCTGCCTTTGTCTTTCAGCTCCTTTGCAGCATTATTTGAAAGGAACTATCAGGTAAATTTCTTGTTTTGAGGGGAAATATATTTGATCCAGAAAAAAGATGTTGGCAAAATCTGCGACATTTGAGTGGTCTCACTTTTACTCAGAGGAAAAATTTAATTTCTAAAGTTTGTGCCAGTAATGATCCTGAGCAGCAGATAAATTTG